GGTAAAATAGTGAAAAAAATCCGGAAATATATTTTGTCAGTGATTTTTTAAACTAAAAAAAATTATAAAATATATTATTTTTAATTAAAATAAATTTCACCAGTAATCTTTTTAAATCTTTTTTTATTTTAAAAAATCACATACATGATATATATATTTTTAATTAAAATAAATTTAATAATTATTATTTTTTTTTGTTTGAAAAATCACTGACAGAATATATTTTAATTTTAATTAAAATAAACTTTATCAAAAATCCTTTTTAAATGTAATTATTTTTTTGTAAATGTAAGTACTTTTTTGTTATATTTGTTTAATTTTATAGATCTAAATACTTTTTGGTTCAAAAAATATTTATAGGCTTAATCGTTCAAAATATGAATGTTCATTGGGTTTTTTTCACTATTTTACCACTTTAACTAGTTGTACAAGTCAWAAGAATGTATCCAACATGTTTTATAAAAGTTCAAGAAGCTATTTAACATGTTTTGGATTGTTCAAGGACTTATTTGTTCCAAAAATTGTCCAAKGACTTATTTAACATTTTTTGAAATRTYCAAKGACTTATTTGTTCCAAAAATTGTCCAAGGACTTATTTAACATTTTTTGGAATGTCCAAGGATTTATTTGTTCCAAAAAATTGTCCAAAGACTTATTTAACATATTTTGGAATGCCCAAGGACTTATTTGTTCCAAAAAATTGTCCAAGAACTTATTTAACATGTTTTGGAATGTCCAAGGACTTATTTGTTCCAAAAAAAAGGCTAAGGACTTAATCATTCCAAACAAAAAAGTCAATTGATTTTTATTGTATTTTTCCCTATATATATATATACACACACACACATAAGTATAGATTTGACATCTTAAACGATGCCGTTTGAAAACGTCATGACCTCATCATAGCTCGTAAAACTTCAGGTTTGATCTCGTCACCTCAGCTCACCCGATTGAGAAACATTTATTAACTTTATACTAATTTCTAAGGGTGGGACCCACTAATAAAGAGCTTGACTTTCAATATTAAATTCCAAAAATACCCTTCACAGTCTCTGGAAGAATTAAACCAAAGATATTCTTACATAAACAAAAGAATATTCCAATTCCGTCCCTCCGCATATGCCTCCCTCCAACACAAAATCCCTTCACTCCCCCACTTTCCCCTCCATAACCCACAACCCCGTTTCAAGAAATCCTTCAACAAATTCCCCAAAACCCTCAAAATATCCCCCAAAAATTCATACCCATTTCAAGAAATCAAGAAAAAATCACACCCATCTGACGAATATCATGAAATTCGGCAAGAGTTTGAGCAATCAGATCGAAGAAACCTTGCCTGAATGGAGAGATAAGTTTCTGTCTTATAAAGAACTCAAGAAACGATTGAAGTTGATCAACCCGCAAGGGAAATCCTCCGGCGATGTTTGTAACAGGGCAGCTAAACGACTACGGTTTTCCGGCGGTGGTGCCGGAGATTGGACGGTGGTTGATGGTGGAATGTCGATGGAGGAGGTTGATTTCGTTGAGTTGTTGGAGAAGGAGATTGAGAAATTCAACTTGTTCTTCGTTGAGAAAGAGGAAGAGTACATCATCAAATTGAAGGTACTTTTCTTGATTCGGTTTTTGGTGAAAAGACTTGTTCATCATGCATTAAAAGTTGTACATCGTGCATTAAATCTTGTACATAATGGTTTAGAATTGCATATATGAGTAAGTGCCAAAGTCACTTAATGTGTAAGTGGCCACGAAAGGCGTTGGACACTGTCTCGGAGCGAGGCTCGGGACTATGTTGCCGAGTTCTTTAAAGAGAGTTGTCTCGCTCCCCTAGGTATTCTCTACCTACCCACCCGTGTCGGTTTCGGGTACAGTTACCCTTTTGTTGTATAGTAATTTACCATGAGTAGTATAGTAATTTACCAATTTTGTTCTACCTATTTATATAAGATAGAAAAAAAATGCATTTTCGTGTCATTTGAACGTCATCTTGGACAACAAGTTTGTATACTGTTATGTCTTGTCTTGTTCACGTACCGAACACACCTTAAGTGTACAACTTTTCAATGCACAAGTACAAGTCCTCACTCCTTTTCTAATATTTTCTTGGTGTAATTTGTTAGCCATGAGATTGAGGTACAACATGATAATGCATACTTAGAGCAACCCTCAAGATACTCTACACATCAAGATGTTGTACATTTGTGAAGCATGTACATGTCTTGATGCATTGGTTACAATCCTTTTATGCATGAAGTTAGAAAGGGACAAGGGGATAATTAGGAATCTTTATTTTTATGCTTTAAAGTGGGGATAGATTCCATTTGAGTGGATGTCTCTCTTACACCAAAGATTCTTTCCATTTCGAACCACAAGAAACATTCCTTCTCATCCTTACCTTTTTATTGCTGTTAGATCCAAAATAATTGCAACATTTCCTTTTTTAGATATTTTATATTAATACAATGATTTCTATTTTTAGAAACTTTTGAGAAACATCTAATTAGGTTTTTTTTTTCTAGTTACGGGTGTTTGGACCAACTTTTGCACACCTCAATTAACCTTATGGGTCGTTTAAGGTAACAGTGAGGAAAATCTCAGTGACCTTGAGATGACTCAAATTGACGAATTATAAAGAGGAGCTCCAAAGACTAATAGAGGTTGTTTGTTTACCTCCTAATAGTTCTATTAACAGACAACCTTTGAATCGTTAAGAGGTGAATTTTGTTTGAAAAAAAAAAGTCTGTCTCTTAATGATTCTAAAACCCTCCGAATGATTTTCTATCCTGGATCTCCCTTAACCGTTAAGAGCCCTAATTTCATTGTACACAATTACCAAACAATTATATTTCATTTTGCACTATATCATTAGAGTCTCTTAATCATTCTGACCAATCATTCTGCACCAAACCATTCCACAATTGTCAAACAGCTCATAAGGGGTTGTTTGGTTGGTTTTATTCTTGTGTATAGATAAGATTGTTTCTGTGAATTAATATGTCTATATAGATTAAACAAGTTTTTTTTATAGATGGAAGAAGTGTGTTTTTTAACTGGGATAAAGTCTCCCCTAGAAGCTTACTGCATAAGCCACTTTCTATATCATTAGGTCATTACCAAACAGTCATCTATAACAAACAAAATAAGTTGCGAGTCTTATTAAGCTCATTAAGCTGCTAACAAATAGACCCTGACCTTTTTTACCAGTTGAGTTGATTCTCAAAGGTTTCTACACGGATTTCTTTGTGAAATGTATGGAGGCTAAATACTATAATCTAAACTGTTGGTGTCCCACGTCAGCTAGACATAATCCATTAAACTTGTGTCTGTATATGTTGAAACCTACTTTCTCTTTATAAATGCTCTTTTAGAAAGAGATTTAAAAAGTTTCACATATTCTCACATAAACAATATTTGTTTGACCACCGTACGTCGTGTTCCTGTTACGTTTGCGGATCGTTTTTACCCTAAAATAGGCGCAAAAGTTGATTGCGCTCTTTTCTTGTTTGTTGGTGCGTATCGTGCAGGAACTGCAAGATAACGTGGCGAAGGCGAAGGATTCGAGTGAAGAGATGATAAAGATACGAAGAGAGATGGTCGATTTCCACGGAGAGATGGTTTTGTTGGAGAATTATAGCGCTCTTAACTACACCGGTATGTTTTCGACTTACGATGAGTTTTGCATATGGTTTAAAACTAGGGTTTATTCATTAATGAATATGTGATTGTGGGTTTCATTTGATAAAAAACGTGGCCCGTTTTATTCTTGAAAATTGAACGATAACGGAAATGCATTTTTTGGTCATTTGCGGTTTTATGATTACTACAATTCAATCGTTGTGGTTTAATGATACAGGAATAGTAAAGATTTTGAAGAAATACGATAAAAGGACCGGAGCCGTCCTTCGTTTACCGTACATTCAAAAAGTCCTGCAACAACCCTTCTTCACCACTGACTTGCTTTACAAGCTGGTGAAGGAGTGCGAGGTCCTACTGGACCGCCTCTTTCCACTGATTGAAGCGCCAGCTTCTTCAGATGATGAAGCTGGCGGCAACGCTGGTGGCGAGACACCCACCACCTCAAACAACGGTGAGGGACCCACAAGACCCATGAACGCCAGGGAATTCGCCGAGCTCGAGTACATGAAGAGCTTATACACAAAAAGCACCATCTCCGCTCTTCGGGTTCTGAAAGAAATCCGAAGCCGAAGCTCTACCGTCAGCGTCTTTTCATTGCCGCCGATGCAAGTGAGCGTATTAGAGGAGACTTGGAACAAGTTTCCACTGCTCGAACAATTAGCAAAATAGGAAGCGCGAACGCTTCCATTTTATGCCAAACTTTTCGTGACTCAGTATTAGTTATCGACTACGATTGTAAAATGCATAGATATAAACCACACCGGAGTTTCCGTTATGCCGAGAATACTCGACAATCGATTTGTGTATGATGTCGTTTCATATCGTATTTTTTCGGTACATTGTATTCGGTTGTTTGAAATATATTTTTAGTGCAAAAAAATATGTTGAAAAAAGTCGCTAGAAGGAGGGGTTGAACCTCCGACCTTGTGGTTAACAGCCACACGCTCTAACCAACTGAGCTATTCCAGCTTGATATTATAATTATGTATAAACTAATACAAATATTAACCAACCAGTTCTATTTTCGTAATCTAAAACAGCAAAATTTGACAAAAACTCTTATAAATTATTTTTTATACATAAAGTATTGTTTATTAATGCATATTACTTAAAATCTGAGATTACAAGTAAATTGCGCGATGTACTTATTAAAACTCCATTTTTGAATTTGTGCAACTAACTGTAAATAAATATAAACAAATATATAATAAACATCTCATTTCAAATATAAAAAAATCTAAAATATGATTAGGATAATCATTGAATTCTAACAAAATCATTTTTTTTATAAAAAATATATTGTTAAGCCAAAAATAAATTATTTCGCTATTAGACCTAAACTAAATTATAATAAGAGATTGAATTAAAGAAATTGTGAAAAAAACGAGAACATTTAAATAGTTAATTTGATATTAATATTGATATATTTTTTCAAACTTTTATGATATCTTCAAATTTATTTTTATTCAAAAGTAAAAACATTATCTTTCTCAAAACCACATAAACCATATTTAATATCAATAAAACAAAAATTAAAACAAAACATTAAAATGAAGATGTATTTCGCTACATTGCGTGAGTACCCTTCTAGTTGAATTAAAATACACCGTATCTATACTGATTTTTATTCGGGAAATTGATCAAAAAAACCAACAAATGTATAAGTATTTTCATAAACTCTGGCTAAAATAGGAATTTGGTTCAAAAAATGGCTAAAAAAGTGAATTTAGTTAGAAAAATTGGCTATTTTAGTCGATTTCCCTTTTCTTTATTTTGGGTAACATACTTTCAGAATTTTTAGTTCGTTACCTTAATAAAACATTTCAAACATATAGGTATCTGAATTATCTACACATTACGTGATGAGTCAAATAGAATGACATGTATTTTATAAAATAAATAATGTGGTTTTGGTTCTGAACTCGATGAGACCTACTTGAGCATGATCAGTTCCGGTTTATTAAATACATCTTTTGGGCGTCTAAGTTGGATTTTATTTACACGGGTTCATGTGTCACGTTGAAATTTTTAGGTAAAATTAAACGGGTAAAAACTATATGTTAAATTGTATTTGCATGATATCGTACTAATAAAAATTTCGTAACGCTAAATTAACGACCATAGCCATAAGTCGATTTACTTGTAAGTTAGCGGTTAAGAAACTCATATTGATAAATACATTTAAAAATATACTAGAAGGTACTCGCGCAATGCAGCGAGACACATATTCATTTTAATGTTTCGTTTTACTTTTTGTCTTTGTTAATATAATACGGTTTATGTAGTTTTGAGAAATATAATGTTTTTACTTTTGAATACAAATAAATTTGAAGACATCATAAAATTTTAAAAAATATATCGATATTAATATCAAATTAACTATTTAAAAGTTCTTGTTTTTTATATAATTTATTTAATTTATTTTTTAGTATAATTTAATTTAGATCAAATAGTGAAGTAATTTATTTTTGGCTTAACAATAAGTTTTTTATAAAAATAATGATTATGTTAGAACTCGATAATTATCCTAATTATATTTTAGATTTTTTATATTTTAAAATAAGATGTTTATTCTTTATTTGATTATGTTTATCCGTAGTTAGTTACACGAATTCAAAATGAAGCTTTAATAAGTTGTACATATGCATAATTTACTTGTAATCTTGAATTTTAAGTAATATGCATCAATATACAGTACTTCATGCATAAAAAAAATGGTTTTTAAGAGTTTTTTTGTCAAATGCTTTATAACATAGTATAAATAAAATACTAAATAGATTTAGCGAATAATCGTACGGGAAAGAGAGTTAAGGTGATAAATGTGAGAAATGATTTGGACCTTGATCATCTTTAATCTCAAACTCACTCTGAATTGTACTTGATACGGGAGTTGATGTGGTACATCTTATATCGATGCATCCCATTCTAATATGTATCAAAAGGTGAAGATCCATTCTTACGCTTCTTTAAAATGATATTTATATAATCAAAATATTATTTCTCATTATTTATGGAAGAAAATGATGAGGGTAGCAAACGGACAAACGGTTACTTGGTTAGTTTCAGGAGTTCAAGATTCGCTAAATGAGTTCTTCACGACTTCTATCACCAAGACGGTGCCGTTCTGGACTTTCTCTCTTTTATTTGAGCAACTAGTCCCTCAATGTTTGACTAACTACACTTTCAGTCCCTCAAAATTATTTAGTGACAGTTTCGCCTCCAAAAGAAATAAAACCAATGTCCAGGATTTTTCCAAATCAACCAGGAAAAAAAAACAACTAAAAAACACTTTTTTTAAATCATTTTTATATAAAATAAAAAACTAATAAAATCTGTTTTACAAAGACAATCAAATGTATGATTAATAAAATAATGGTAATTTTGAAAAAGAAAATAACAGAAATTTGTAAAAAGACGATATTACCCTTAACAGAACATCAGTTAGTGAAGTTAGGATAAGGGACCTAATACGTCACAAAAGTGAAACCATGATAACCATACATGTAACTGTTTTGTATGGAGACCCAATTCAGGTTTTCGATAACCGCAGGAACCAAATTTGTAATTTACTTTAAAAATTATTTGTTTTTACTGACTTCATATTTATATTATTATCATAATTAAGGAGGCGTTTGTTTTTGCTATTTATGATCAAAACGTCTAGAAACGTCTGATTCAATTGTATATTTTTACATTAAATCTGTTTGTTTCATTCAAACTTAAAAACCCTGATAATTTTCCTATATAAAGAAAATTATTGAAAACTTAGGGATCGTTTACTGAACGCTTTCTGGGTAAACGCTTATCGACAAGAGTTATCACATTCACTTACGTTATTGGGTAATGTTCTTGGCCATCAGTGGATTGTTGATAAGCATGTTTTATCCCGGTAAACGCTTACTCAGTAGGAGTCTTTTCCGTCATTAACCAAGTAAATGAATTAATGGTAAGCGTTTATAACTCCTTAAGTCGCTTACTAGATACGAGTCATCACCTGACCTTACTTATTAGGTAAGATTTTCAGTCCTTATTATGTTCGTCCGGTAAGATAATTGAACAGATAAGTGTTTAGTAAACGACTCCAAATGTGCTAACAAAATAGGTGGAACCAGGTAAAGCTATTTAGAAAACGATAACTATACCTTTATGTTTACTTCTCAAATTACAGTATCTCACTAATATGTTATTATACATATATGTGTGTGCGCGTTTGTGTGTGCGTGTGTTTTATATTTATGACTATGTGTGTTAGGGGTTGTTTGTTTACCTCTTACTAATTCCATTAAGAGACAGCTTTTGAATCATCAAGAGATGAATCTTGTTTGACAAAAAAAAGTCTGTCTCTTAATGATTTTAAAACCCTCTTAATGGTTTTGTATCATGTGAATCCCTTAACCATTAAGCAGTCTACTTTCATTGTAAACAATTACCAAACAATTATATTTAAGTGTTCACTATATCATGAGAGTCTCTTAATCATTCTGATCACTTAATCATTTTGAATCAAATCATCCAGCAACTGCCAAACTACCCCTTAATTAATTAATAGTCTTAAAAAAAGACTAAATTAAATTATTTATCAAAATATTATTATTTATGAAACAAAATAAATATAACTTTAACTTCTATACAATTTACTAAAATATTTTTAAAATTGT